AAAAAGAATAGGATAGAGAAGTAATGAAAAAGAATGATAGATACAGATGCTATATCTATAACTGTCAATTTAATTCCAAAAATGGCCCACACAAAAATTCTAATATATTATTAGTATTTTAATGTACACACAAGTTAGATGATAAGAATCTCATTGGTGAGGACCCCACATGTGTCGGCCTATTATAGCACGTATTTGTTACAATAGTGATACTTATGCCCCGTTCGGGAGGGATTAAAAGCCAATTAAAATTGAAAATATGGCCGTTATTGGGCCCCACTCGTCTAATAAAAGTCAACAATAACGGTTATATTTTCAATTTTAATCTGATTTTAATCCCTCCCACACAAGCCCTAATGTCGCAATTTGCGCTACGAGACATTTGCACAATTATTCCCCATTGTTACTTTAGGGGGTGTTTGACACTCATTTAGTAGAAAAATTAGTTTTTGAACAGTGATTAATAGAAGAATGTGTGGTTAAAATGTAAGGAGAATTTTTAGATTTATGTGTAATATTATTTTATTGATAGAATGTGTGGTTAAAATGTAAGGAGAATTTTTAGATTTATGTGTGGTTAAAATGTAAGGAAAAATAATGAGAATGAGAAAAAATGGGTGCCAAACGGAAGCTTAATAGTCTGGTTGAGAGTTAGAAGTGACAATTATCCTCTACGCCTCCACCGTGTGCACTCACGACATATGTAGAAGGTTAGGGATGAAAAAATTTATCGCCCATCTCCTAATTTTTTATGAGTTTAAACTTAAATCATATTTAAAAAATAAAAATTCATAAAATAAGTAAATGCTGGTATTTTAATCTTCATCAGGCTCTTATATCTTGAAAATCCTCAACAAGGCAGGGATGATGAGGGTTGCTCCGATTCTGTCTTGTCATCCAATGCAACTATCTAGATAAAATTATAAGGTGACGTGAGTACACAATATAAAATAACTTATTTGGTACTCTTAACTATTTTTTATTAAAAATTAATATTATTTTGCATTTTACTTTCATTGTTGAGTTTAGACCATCTATATTTTCAAAATTTGATAAAAACAATTTAGTGCGTGTTTGGAGGGATTTTTGGGGGAATAATTGATTTTGAATAGTGATATGATGGGAAACGTGTGGTTGAAAAAGAAGAAAA